TATAATTTAATATCTCGCTATAAATTTACAGCACGTTATCAAAGTATTTTCTAGAGTCCGACCGAAATTTCAGTTTTATTTGATTTTGGTCAGTTTCGGTCAAAAATCAGGGTTTCGGTTTGATTTCGGTTTCGACCGAAATTAAGAAAAAACCGGGTTTAGTGGGTAAATCGAAATTGTACAAGTTGCAACGCGTCGGTGAGCGTTAAAAAAATAATTATTCGATTTTAATTATTAACTCGTTGATTAAGCTTAAGACAATTTGAGTATAAACTTTGATGTGATCCTAATAATAACTGTGATTTGATTTCTTTAAAAATTGGGGATACAATGTATTATTATATTATTATAGTTAGATATTTTAATAAAATCTTGTTTTTTTAAAGAGTACATAAATTTGTCATGATTTCTGAAAATTATATGATCTCTGTAAAATTAATCCAAAAATTATCGATTTCGACTCCGGTTGAAAATGTAACTCCGTTTCTCTTTTTTTTTCTTTTAGTAAGACTTATCTAAGTTTCGGTTTCGGTTTTGTTTTCGGTCGAAATTGAATGACAACCGAATATTCGTTTTCGGTTTCGCCCGGAGGTCAAAATGTGGTTTCGGTCGAACTTTAGTATTTTCTAGTCATAATCTGGTGGTTACTCCAGGTCTGCGAGTCTTGTAATTTTACGAAAGAAGGCCCAAGTAGATTACATAAATTACGTCGAGTTATGGTGCTGGTGAAACTTGGTTTACTTGGTATTTGGCTTTTATATTTATATCATAAATTATCTCGGATGCGCTTGTCATTAAAGAAACATCACTTTCCTTTCATTGTAAATCTAGCTGTAGCTATACCGCTTTTTTCAAGGGCCATGCGAATCGTGTATCTTTTTTTTCATGAATATTAAATTATTTCCAAACAGTGGAACTTTAATGCACTAGGTGATTGTAAAACGATCTTTAATAATTATCTCATTTCAGCAGCCTTACTTTTACAAATAAAACGACAAATACAAGGCAAGTTTAATTATTATTAATACTCTCGAAAGTATTCAATGACTACTTAGCGCTATACAATATTAAAGAGATTAAAATGCTATACAAAGTAGTACATAAATGATCTCTAAACAAAATAGTAAATAGTTTAAGAGAACACTGGCTGAAGTATATGATTTACCTACGAACGCGATCAAATCATTTGAAAAGAAACAAAGTACGCGAATTAATTTTAAAAGTTTATGTAATTCTCGATAAATGCGATTCACTGCTCTTTATAAAATAGGCACAGATGTCATTTTTAACTATACTTTGAATAATACATAAAACTTTATAAAGATATAGTATATACAGTAAAATGTGATGCATATTTTCTAAATACTTTTGCCGCATACAAAATGTATGCTAAATTGAAACTGCCATTGTTACACCGTTATTCGCTCCAACAAGTGATTTATAAAAATAAAATTTTATGTTACTGAACGGATTAAAATTAATTTGTTTACAATATGGTAAATATGCAGCAAATATCAGATTAAAATACATCTCGTTCGATCTATTAACATTGTGTGTAATTTAACAACGCGAAAATAAATATTATTATTATTGCGACTGATTGGCATATACATATTAAAGGAAAATGTGAAAATAAAAATGCACTTTTTTGAACGATATAATTCATAGAAAGAAAACTTATATGAATTTGAATTTAGAGGAGAACATATCTCGAATGTTATTAAAGCAGTAATGAGAACTGTATTTTAGATCTCATTTGTCTAAATTGATAATTACTTGAAATTTTCTCTTCTTTTTTAATCTGAATGAATACGCATTTTTATCAATCACTGTACACATGTTTGTTGATAGTCTTACTGTAGTCTTTACTTAATTGGAACTATTCGGGTGGGTATAATTTAACTCAAAAGTTGTCGGGTGCAGAGATCCCTATCGCTTGGCCGAAATTTTAGAAATTCTTAGTCAACTTTGGTTTGCAAATATTATTCTAATATTATATTTACTTAAAAATTATTTAACGTTACAGTAACTACAGTAACTTCGATACACCGTAAGAACTTCGTACATTAATATTAATATTGATACAATAATAATTAAATAATAAAAATATTATCGTATCAATATTAAATATAATAATATTGGTACAATTTAAGGATCAACAGGAATAACTATGAAGACTTCTGGTAGAGAAAAATTTCTTTAAAAAAATTATAACTAAAAGTACCGAGAAAATCGTAATGTAATTGCGATATTCGTCATCAGGAAAGCGGCCTACAGGATCGTATAGTATTTTTGTTGGAAAAAGAGATAAAATAAAAATTGTTTTGTTATCTCACTCGATCTGCATTATAAGTATAGTTGAGGTCAGTGACGGATTAAGCATTTTGCCACTCCTAGGCACCAACATTTAGCCACCCCCAAATGGTTTCATTAATCTATAAATTTAATAAAAGGAGAAAAACGGATAAAAAAAGATTTATACCCCCACATTAGAGAGAGAGAGAGAGTTGGTGAAAATATTTAATAATCCTTAATAAATAATATAAATATAATACATTTTTAACTGTATACTTAAAAAATATTGTTTCTGATAAAATATACTCGGTGTAACTCATGCAAAAACGTTAGATTAATAAAAATAAAAAATTTATCTCAACTGTGTAAACATTTTGTCTTCAAAAATTTGCCGCCCTAGGCAAGTGCCTTGTTTGTCTATGCATTAATCCATCACCGGTTGAGGCAGATAATTTATCTATTATAAATTATTAATATGGCTCAATTAGAATAAATCAAAAAATAAAAGTAGGGCTACGAGCCAATTACAATATAAAGAATATTTAATAATCATACAAATGTTTCGACGCCGATCGGGTCATTTTCACAAACAATATTACATAAACAATAATAAGATTGAAAGACCGCTAATGTTAACTACAATGCTTTAAATTAAGAAGCGCCATAACGATCAGAACGTTAAGATGTTGAACTATTGTAAATTCATTTAAATGAATTAATTTCAGAAATTATAATTGCGTGCCGATATGGTTGTCGGACTTTCAACGCAATCAAATCTGAAAATATTAATAATCCCCCCAAATTTCCGGGTTCGACTCCCGGCCGAGGCATTATTTTTCGCAATAAGTTTATTACAGTTTTTAAGTTGGGGAGGATTATTAATATTTTCAGATTTGATTGCGTTGAAAGTCCAACAACCATATCGGCACGCAATTATAATTTCTGAATTAATTCATTTAAATGAATTTACAATAGTTCAACATCTTTAAGGGCAGGTTCCCGTCCAAATCGATGAAAAAAACGAAAATTTTTTTTGCTTAATTTTCATCCTTATGTTGTCGAGAATACGTGGGAGAAAGGATATTTCGATATATGATGTAGTTCACGAGATATATGGGCGGAACAGTTCGTCGGCGCTCCGAACTGCAGCAGAGACAGAATTGTCGGAGCTCGCAAAACA